TTTTTAAAACTCAGAAACTTATTAGGCTAATCCTTCTCGGACCTAAATCTCGGTGCTAAGCAAACTCGTAACACCAGGGGTGTTACACCGGAGCTGGAGAAGATGGCGGCGAGCGAGCTCACCGGAGCTAGAGAAGATAGCGGCGGTGGGGGGAGGGGAAGAGGGCAGCCGCCACGGGCGCTAGGGTTCGTCGAAGCTGGACGGTGGTCGGGGGCGACGAGGAGGAGAAGCGGCGGAGGAGGGGCCCGCACGGCCAGATCCGTGAGGAGGAGAAGGAGGCCGCCATGGCCGCCGCTGGAGAGCCCGTCGGCGTGGAGGAGAGGTGCGGATGCAGGGATGAGGGCGTGGGGGAGAAGACGAGTGAGGGGAAAGGGAGAATCACACGAGTTTTATATAGACAGATCCAACTGAAAACAACACATAGGAATACACCGTCCAAGTGTTTCTCCATTATCAAAAGCAAAGTATACTCCTGCAGTGTTTCTCCATAAATCTTGCAAACGACACAGTGAAACTGTGGGAGGACATTTCTCCATTATCAAAGAAAAGGAAATAGAAGGAGCATTTCATGGCAGAAATTTCAGAGTTTTTGGTCATTTCATTTCACAACAGACTGTTTCGTCTTTGTGGCTATCGGCATGTTCGCTGGTTGTTTTCTAGACTGATTTAGACTGGCTGGTCCTGGTTTGTTGCGAGAGAAAAATACTATTAACTGATTAGTTTGGGCTGACCGAAACCAACGACCGAACCGGCGGTATGTCAGAGCGTTTCTTTAACGGAATCTTTCTCAAGATCGACTACGAGCTGAACACGCTACTGTAACATGCAATTCCTAGTCCTTTTCCTTTCAATCGTGTACGGTGTGCACCTTTATTTATTTCTTTGTTTTGAACGGGGACTGAGCAAGCGAGTGAGAACGTGAGATCCAAAGTCCTACTAGCTGAGACTGATGGCGCCTGCGGCGGCAGATTGCAGGGGCAGAACAGAAAGACGACGGGGGGAGGGGAGAGCAGCGGCGGCGGCAGAGGGAAAGCAAGCAAGCAGCCGAGCACAAAGCAGAGAGGAGGAGGGCGTTGCTGTTTTTTTCCTCTGCCAAAGCTGCTTAGGGATCGGCGCCACGCGAGGCGGGTCCCAAAGGTGTGGCTATGGCCAAAAGCGAAAGCTGCTGCGTGCTGCCGGCCTGCCGCTGCGCTTGCTTGCTTTGACCAGGGCGGCAGGGCCTATGGCCACACACACCGCCACAGCCCCCAGGACACAGGTGGCAGGCCACCCACTGCCTGCCACCGCCACTGCCAGCCAGGGGACCGACGCCGCGACGGCGACGGTGCGTGGCGGCAAGGGACCGGATCGGAAGCGCCGGGCGCCGGCGCAGGTCGGGTCCAGGTGAGGACGTGACACGCCGTACGAGCCGCCGGCCCCTCGTCCTCGACTCCTCGTCCTCATAGTAGCTACTAACTGGCACTACGCCTGCCGGAGCCTCCCTCCACGAGACCAGACCAGACCAGACCAGAGTCCAGACCACGACGCCGTGCCCGTGCTGTGCTACGCTGCGACGCCGACGCGCTCGGCGCTCGGCGGTCGGCTGGGAGAGACACCAGACACAGGGCCGCGGCCACTAGCTCCGTCGGTGTCCGTCCGTCGCCGCCCTGGTCTAGTGCTGTCGTCCCGCCGCTGATCTGATGGCAGCTGGCCTTACTGCTACTGCTGCTGATGGATGCTGTTGGCCGCTGGCCGCCGTGCCTTCTTCAATCCAATCCCGGTCTTCAATTTTCGCGTCTGCTCCATGGTTTCGTACTGTGCGTCATGTTGCTGTTTACTCTGTAAACGTTGGTCGCCACGATTTACGTGTATATTTCTATCTCCAAATAAATTTATTAAAAAACTAGATTCAAATATCTATCACTAATATTAACGGTATGTTCGCTTGTTGGTTTCAGCCAGGGCTTATCAGACAGCCAACAATGTTTTCCTTTCACAACAAATCAGTACCAGCCGGACTTATCGGCGTAGAAACCAACCAACGAACATACTCTAATTATGTAACATAAATATTAATATTTTTTAATATACATTTAGTCAAAGTTGTTTCTCTGAATAAAAAACGATAGATCTGAGTTTTTAAGCGCCCATCTACGCGCCATGTCCATCGCCACACGTATTTTTTGAGAAAAAAGATATAATCAAAGTTGGGTTGTATTTTGATTTGAGAAAAATCGAGGATGTTTTCGCAAAAACGGTGAGAGTGTCTGGGAGCGCGAGTTGATTTTCGATAAAGTGGAGGTCTTTTTTTTGAACAAACTAGTGCCCATCCGGCCCGGATCGAGCGTTGATTTGGAAATAATACGAGGCGTTTTTGTAAAAATTCGAGAGGACGTCTGAGCGCGGTTGATTTCAAAACTTAAAGGGGTTTTTTAAAAAAAACGACCGCTGCTCGCCCGATCTGGGCCGGGCCCACTGGCCACACGTATTTTTTGGAGAAAAAAGATATAATCAAAGTTAACAGTATTTTGATTTGAGAAAAATCGAGAATGTTTTCGCAAAAAAGCGGTGAGAGTGTCTGGGGCCGCGAGTTGATTTTCGATAAAGTGGAGGTCTTTTTGCGAACAAACCAAAGCCCATCCGGTCTGGATCGAAGGCGTTGATTTGGAAATAATACGAGGCGTTTTTTGTAAAAATTTCTGAGAGGACGTCTGGAGCGTGGGTTGATTTTCGAAAACTTAAAGGGGTTTTTCGTAAAACGACCGCGGCTCACCCGATCTGGGCCGTCCGCGCGGCCGATCGAACGGCCGCGAAAAGCCGGCGACGTGGCCACCCTGAGGCCGCGCCGTGGCTACACCAAATCATATCTTTAGATTAGAGAAAGTACTCGTACACCAACAGTCCTTGTCCTTCCACTGATGAACGACGATCGATGGCTCTCACTGGACACTGGCTCAGGGATTCAAGCAGGGGGCTTACGCTTACCCCACTGTAAAAACACCAAGCAAGAAGAAAGAATGACAGGTTATGATACTGTGCAGTATTTCACACCAGGCTGCTGGTTGCATGCATGCATGATGATGATCCTACGTACGTCACGTGTTACTGTTAAATGGTGGTGATTGTTTCGTTTGTCTTGTGACCGTATTTTGCTTTCACGCACTGCGCGTGCAAATGTGCTACTCACTTTGCCTAAAATATAAATAATTCAAGCATTCCCTAAGTTAAACTATACTAAATTTATAGAGAAAAGCTTTAACATCTGCCACATCAAAGATATATATTATAAAAAGATATATTTCATAATATATCCAATTAATCTAATTTAAAGCCATATTTTTTTCTTCATTTTTTTTTTAAAAATTTAGTCAAGATTAGTATAGTTTAACTTAAGACAAAACTAGATCCTTCATATTTCAGAACAAAGATAGTACTGTACTGTAAAGACGGTTCATGACTCTTAATCACTTATTTATAGCTGCACCATCAGGTATTTTGCTCTAGCTTCGCCACTGGTTTAGGCTTGTATCACATGCGGACATGTCGAGTTCCTGAATTGACTGCTCCACTCTCTTCGACCCAAGAATGAAACTCGAAGGGATGATGCATGGCCTAGCTTCAGTTAGACCCTTTTAGGCAAGTGTGGAAGCCATAAAAAGTATGGTTAGAAAATTGTAACCAAACACCAGTCGATTTTTTTCATGTTTCCTACATTTTTACTATGATATGAAAATAAGCTAATTTTTTAATAAATATTCTTTATGTTTCAAATGAAATTCCTTTGTTCGAGGCCTTGCACAGAAGAAAACCGGTCCGGAATTCCGGATGGACCGGATGGCCACCGAGACTCTTCGCGTGGAGGCAAGAGACCATCTCTGTCGTCGTGTCAACAGTCAACACCACAAATTGCTTGCAAGTGCAACTGCGTACAAATACTATACCAACGTCTAAACTGCGATGGACTATTATCTGGGCGATGAGGATTACATGTGTCATCACCAACTCTTTTGACTCTCTGACACGTAGTACACGTGTTTACAATTAGGTAAGCTAAGGTAGACATGCAGAGTGCAGACGTGACGTGATGCAGCCAACCATACGGCGAGCAGAATACAAACAGTTCTTGAGGCCGGACCATTTCCTCGCATGCCGATACGGCTGCCGGCACAGCACGGCCGCCGCATCCAATGCCGGTCACCTAACATGCAGCACGTACGGTGAGAATTCTGGAAGGACGGTGACAGACAGAACTCAGGAGGCACAAGGCCAACATGGTCTGACTGCGATGGGTACGAGAGGCTGCGACGGAACTACAGACGGGAGGCACCATGCCGTCCGGCGACACCGACGCGACACGGCATGGAGGCGGCCGGCAGTCGGCACCGACCTCCGCACGCTGGCACGGCGGTTGCCGGCACTGCGCTCCGCTCGACCAAGCAGCGGAAATTGCCAGGCCATCTCGCCATGTACAAACGTCTGGCCTCACTAGCAGCAACAAATCTATGCTCCTGTATGATATTTCCTACTGCACGAAATTCTACATCACTCTTTGAACATTTTTCACATGAATTGGCGATGTGTTCTTATTTTTGATGAACAAGCTCATATTCTATTTACAGAATTGTATTAGGATTCCATACATTTTGTAAAAAAGAAACAAGGAAATTAAACAGGCGCACTGTATATAGTAGAGCACTGCCTACAGCCTAGAGGCCCCTCAAAAATCTTACTTCTTCGATCAGTGGCAACTGGCAGCGCCCCCGAACAAGGATTGAAGCAGCGTTTGCTTGACCCCATGTAGTTCACCATGTTGGCACACATGCACAGATGCGTAGCTTTCTTGCTTGGACGAAACCGTTTCTCTTTACAGACCTATCACAAAGCAAGTAAAATCTCAATATAGCATGAAAAGCCCGCTCATTCGAGCACTCGAAATACTGATTGAGGAACAGAAAGACCAAAGCTGAACCAAAAGATCATATTGACTGCACAATATTGAGATAGAAAGAAGCAAAACCTCTTTAGAAGGGACTAATTTGGCGGGCCAATTTAATTTGCCACTCATAAACCAGGCGCTCCGGGGTAGGTGCCGAAGCGTCCCTCTCACGCGCACTTGCATCATCAACATGAATGACAGATAAAACATCTTCAAGCATTTTGTCCCTGCCACCCCTTAGTGGATCCTACAATGGAGCATCAAGTCATTGGGCTACAAACAAGTAGAAAAGGATAACTATGTGAACTTTTGGATGGCAGAAGATTTCAGTGGATTTTCTGCAAAACTCCTGTAAGATGCCAGAATTTCAAATAGCTCTGTTTACTATTTTACAGTGCTTTCTTCATCAATTCAAACACAGCTCTAAAAGAAAGTAGATATTTTTCGGTCAATAATTTTTGGCTTAAGGTTTCAGTAAAGTGAACTGAAAGGGCATAGTCCACGACATCCTAAAACCTATAAATCTCACGAGCATAGGCAGTTAGGCACACGCTGATTTTTTTTTCCTTTCCTTTGGAATAAAACATGCTGAAGTAGATGCAGTAATGTATGTAAAATGAGCATTGTTCTGCAATCCTTCTGACTGGAGTTATACAACCAATACATGAAATTTCTCAAGAGCCATTCGTATAGCAGCATATTAGTTGATCAATTAATGATAAAAGCTTTAAAAACTATTTGTTTCATAAAAGCTTTATTAAAAACTAAAAAGCACAAGAGCCAAAGTGATATGTCTTCAACACTCATATTGTGGTATTCAAGATAGCCTACCTGTAAAAATACATCAGTATGTGTTTTCCCTTCATACAATTGTAACTCTACTTTTCCACCAGCTTGTTTAAGGACATCCGCAAAAGCTTCACTGTATGTAAATTAAACAGAGCTATTCAGAGCCAAAAGATGGAGCAATAAAGGATTATCTTGAACAGAAAGACAGATCAATGTTCCCAAATAATGATATAATGGTTATAAGAGCTTGATTTCAGAAATGAAAACTAATATTGGCAAGAAACTAGTTTTTAGGGGCACAATTACAAGTATCAAGAGACGGTGTTTGCATAAAACAATACAGCTATAAAGTATAGGTGTCTCTAGAACTTGTAGCTCTTGCTAATTAATCCTGGCTTTGAACTTTTGTAAAATGTTATTAAAAGTCAGTGTCTAAATTGGAGTAATGGTTTCTATTTACAAGTAGGATTTCAAACCAAAATAAATTGCTAAAATATGCCTACAGTTTTGTTTGTATATTCGATTTAAATTTGATGTTAGCATCTTGATAAAAAGAAGAAAAATTAAAGCAGTGGAAAATATATAATCACTTGAGGTTGAGGTATCAATAACATGGTTAGAATAAGCTAGCCCAGAACAAAAATAATCAACCTGGCCGATGATGGTATGGAGTAATCTGCTGTTCCATGCAATAGTACAATCTGAGGTAGTAGAGATATGGTTTCTGCACTTAATTTTTTGGCGACAATTTCAGGTGAGAAACGTGGCAGCGATTCCTCTCCCTCCATTATGCTGAAATCGTGACTTGTAATTTAGTCAGCACTTATTCAATCGCAAAAAGAACACCTCCACAAAAAACTACATCCACATTATTTACCTGAGAAATATTGAACGATAAAGACCACGTTCATGAAAGTGATCAACCAAATTTTGGATGTTGTATCTGTAAATTGCAAATAAGTATATATGTCATGTAGGATTGGCAAAACTACCTTAGTATCTCAGTTTGAGACCAGCAGAATCAGAGTGGTGGTAGTATGTTTTGTTTGACAGATCATTTTATATTTTTATTTGCTAAAATGCAAAGATCAGACTGCTGAAATCCAAGAAGTCTGGCCTTTTCTAGAAGTGAAGGGCTAGACCCAGTTTCATAAATCAGATTCCATTATTCAAGCATGGTGCAAGCATTTTTTAGTGCTCTATCAGATAAAATTATTTTCTAGTACTATTGAGCAATGATTAATAATAGGATATGTGATTAAGAATATAAATTTATAGACATATAAAACAGATGCCTAGGCTTTCAAGTTCTCACCCTCCAGATAAACCAAAATATGCTTTTATTTGAGCCACATTCCAATAGGTATTCTCTCCCTTAGATTCTTTAACTGCTTGCTCTAAGAGAGCACAGGCCGCAATATGTGCTCCTGCTGATTGACCCATCAAGTAGATTCTGCAGATTCGTCATAAATTGATTTATTAAACGTTAACAATTAAAATACAAGATCTAAAGCAGAGACGATACAGAGCTCAAAGAACAAATGTAAGTACCACCACTTGCAAACAAATGGCAAAGTATCACTTACTTATTAGGATCCCCTCCAAAGCTAACAACATTGTTACAAATGAATGATATCGCCTCAGAAGCATCACTGAGCATGTCGCTTATTGTTCCTTGAGGGAAATTTCTGCCAGCCATATTTAAATTTTGCCAATCAAGCAAAAAGAAACCAACCAGTCAATACTCAAAATTAATAAAAAAAATACAGGTCGAAAACATAATGGTGAATTACATGTATGTGGTGTATACATCACAAAATTCTTTAAGGCATCAGCACCTGTAATCAATACAAGCTACTATAATTCCTCTCTCTGCTAACCGTCTTCCAAGGAGAGCACCCCACGCCTTGTAACTAAATATAAGCCACATTACTAACAAGGAAAGTCACCATGAATTAACCCTGTAATGTATTGTGATTTGTGAGGAAACTGTCACTTACCCAATGATCCAAGCTCCACCAGTTACAAATGCCACAACTGGACTGGATTTGCTGTTATCTCTGGGCATGTACAAATCCAACCTGCATAATATCTCTGGATCTACTGTCATAAATGCTCGAGGACACTATATAGCACATTACTTTCTTTAATCTTTACTTACCTATTTCTTGGTTGTTCTCCATAGACTACACTTCTAATAACCTGACTTGAAAAGAAATAGTAGTACCCAACTGGAAACAAACAAAAAAAGGGATATAAATATTAGTTGTTAGAATATGTTACGCCAACCATATTTCAGCACCATCTATCAACAACATATAAGGAAGCAAATTGTTTATCAAGAAAAGGTAGGGGGAAAAATACCCGACAAAGAGGCAAAGAATATGTAAACATAATTAATATTTTGAGATAACCAAAAGGTAAATCCCTTATCGCACACCTTTTATGAAACCAGGCATGAGTAAAACTGCATACACAAGGAGTGCAATAAGCTGCGATATCCACCGATAACCAACCCTGAAAAATCACAAAGCATGTCAGAAATTCAATCATGAAGCTCAGTTGCATTTGTGCATCGCGGTGAATGGACATCAAACTGTATATTGCATAATATGAATCTTGAGCTAGAAATACAAATTAACATTTTGCTCTATGCAAGCAAAAGATGCCACAACATCCCTTAGAAACAGTTGAAGAAAAGGGAAAAACAATGTTTAGTAGCTTGCTCCCAATATTACAGGTTCTTAGGTTTTTATCACCATAAGAAATAGGGATGCAGGTTCTTATAAACTACTATTACCCTTGACCACTCCGCATATAGGACACATCAACTGTAATACTACACTATAATCTACCGGAGAGGTGTCAGACAAACGGTAACCACCAGCGATCTAGTAACTGAAGCGAAGCATATCGCAGCACACGAAATTTCAGAGCGATCGGTGCCAGTAAGATGCGCGGGGGTGGTCGTTAACAATCGCGAGCGAGTAATATTGGTAAACGCAGATCACCCGAGGTATCCGAGCAGGGTGAAGGCGAGTCCCGTGACGAGGTAGGTCTCGGCGGCGGCGTGCCCGACGTCCTCCCGGAAGGTGGAGCGCCTCCCGTCGCCCGCGCGGCCGCTGCGGGGGCTCGAGAAGTCGAGCGGGACGGGGCCGGTGCGGCGGCGCAGGCCCTGCTGGGGCCCGCCGCGCGGGACGAAGGCCTCCCCCTCGGCGCTCCCGCCCCCGCCGGCGGGGTGCTCGCTGGCGAGCTGCATTGCCACGGCGATCGATGGGTGCGAGGGGCCTGGCGGCAGTGTAGGGTGAGGGGAGCGGGCTCGGGGTGGCGTGGAGGTGGAGTCATGGAGAGAGAAGGAGGGGTGAGAGGGGAGCGGGGAGGTTGGGGAAGCCGGAAGCCAAAATTAGGAGGCGGATGAGCGCGCTAGTCGCGACGGCGAGAGTGCCCGCCGCAGCCCGCGTGTGGCTGTGTGGTGGGTGTGTGACTGGGAGGAGGCGAAGAGGACGCCGAGGCGCGGCGGTGGCGCGGGGGCGCGGGGCGAGCTATCGGGCCTCACGGGAACAGAGAACTCACGAGGCCCCTACCCCCACGTTGGAGCCCACGAGTCTCTACAACAGCTGCTGGTGGGCTGGGCCTCGTTTTGGTTGGGCCAGGCCTGGGCAGCGAGACTACAAATGTTGGGCCTCTCTGACTGGGCTACCGTTGGCCGGCGACCGCGAGTCCTCGACGACACGCTGCGCCAAGCTGGCTTTGCGCGTGCGCCGGCGCCGGCGCGTCTGCTGCATGCGGCTGGAAACGGACCACGGTTTGGAGCTAGCGGGGACGACAGCTCGGCCCCAGTCCACGGTCTCTTAGGCTGTTACGATGCGCGTCGGCCGTTGCGCAGCGCAGGTCGGTCGGTGCACGGATGGGCAGCTTTGCATCTGCTCAGCGTGAAAAGCGGATCGCGGTCACGTTTCTCGGTGCTACCGCGCCACGCCACCACCACAAGGTTTCGGTGGAAGAATAGATTTTTTTTAAAGCTCCCAACGTAATAAATAGTTAAGAAATTTTGTTTTGTTTGATCTATTATCTGTGTTAATTTTTTGTGGTTTGCAGAGCGCGCTGCCAAATGGCAGTAATCCGCAACAAAAAAATGAATCGCATTAGCATATTACTATATTAGAAACAAGAGAGAGATTGAGCAGCAAGGTTGAACAAATTTTCATCGAAAATATGTACACATTTTCTGCGTTCATCCATGTTAACAACCATCAATGAGTTTCGAGTTACAAGATCTGTGTCAGTTATCCTAGTAGCTACAAAAAAGAGAAGAGAACAAGTAATCAACGCGGCGGGCGAGGGACGCGGGCAAGCGGCAGCCGGTGACCGAGACCCACCGATCAGGCGACGCCGAGGAAGTCGAGCGCGGACTTGGCCATGACGGCGGCGAACTCCTGAAAGCTGATGACGCCGTCGCCGTCGGCATCTGCGTCGCGCATCATGCGCGTGAGCTCCTCGAAGGTGAGCGGCTGGCCCAGGCGCGCCATGGAGCGCGCCAGCTCGGCGGCGGAGATGTAGCCGTTGCCGTCGCGGTCGAAGGCGCGGAACACCTCCAGGAGCTGGGCCTGGTCCACGAGGTGCGTCTGCGTGGTGAGCAGCGGCGCGATGGCGGCCGCCAGCTCGCCGAACTCCACGGCCCCGTTGCCGTCCGAGTCCATGGCCGCCAGCAGCGCGCGCGCCTCCTCCCCCGTCGGGCGCAGGCCCAGCGACCGCAGCAGCGCCGCTAGCTCTAGCTGCGTTAGGCTGCCGTCGCCGTCCATGTCGAACCGCCGGAAGATCTCGCGCAGCTGCTTCAGCTGGCTCCCGCGCAGCTGCGGATGTGGATGCGGCTGTGGCTGAGGCTGAGGCTTCGGCGCCGGCGAGGAGGACGCCGTCGCCGCCGCTGGTGCTGCTGACCTTGTCATTGCGGGCGCGTAGAGGAGACTTGTGGAGAGAGACGGACGACGAACTCAACTGCGGAGTGCAGGGAGAGATGATGAGGAGACGCCGAGACGGCGACCGGGGTTATTTATGGAGGGGTGGAGGTGGATCTACCGGGAAGACGCGTCGCGAGGGGTTTGGTTGGTTCGTTTTGGCTGGAGACAGTGGAGACCTGCGCCGCGACTGACCCAGGAGAGGACCGGGTCGGTGCGTGCATGGGTGGATGCAGGGAAAAGTCCCCGGTGGCTGCGCGTCAAAACGGCTTCGGCCTCGGGGCTCTAGTTTTTTTGGTTGCAAACTTGTTATTGCAACTGACTGAGAGGTCAAGTTAGCTGCACTTCTAACGCTCAGTTTTGCGAACCACGGTACAGGCATACAGGTGTACAAAAGAAATACAGAAATTAGTTCAATTTCATGAGAAAATGTAGGACTGAAAAAGAAAAATCTTGTGTTTCATTATATTCAGCACCGTTCCATACGGGTGTGGCAACGGTGGTTGAAGTGTCCAAGGCGATTCCGTCTCTGAACTCCACCGACGACAAAACGATTCCTGTTCGCGTGAGCTTATTCAGCACTATTTTTCAGCCACGGAACAGTGTTTTTCTCTCATAACATTTCAGCATAAGCCAAATTTCAGCATAAGCGAACAGAGTGACCGGGAATGAAGTATGAAGTCATCAGTCCATGCCTGCCTGAAACAGAAAGGGCCAAAGGGGTACGGTTGACGGTGGGCATCAGCGGCTCAGGATTAGCAAAGAGAGAATCTTACAGCTCCGGGGCGGCCCTGCTGCTGGTTGGTGCTCTCCCGTAAACAAAAATAGATAGACAGGAGTGGTTCGTCACTCAAGAGGACATGATCGATTGGTCATGCATGCAGTATCGTTTTCTTCTACTCAATAATCGGGCCTGTTCGTACCTGAATATTTTCAGAGCTATCTGTTCATGGTTTCAAGGTTCTGCATATTTTTATTTAAGTCAACTGATTAGCGGCTCAGAGGCAGAAACCTTTTATTGTGTTCTCCGTTTCTGTGCACTCAGAATTACATGTATTCTTCGAGAATTTTTTCTACATCAACCATGAACACACCAGATTGACATGGCATCCATTTAGTTTTCATTTCAGTTCGATTCTCTTCAATTTTTGCAAATGCCACAGCCTTAGTTTTCCCTGAGTATGAAAACAGCTGGGTCAACAATCTTTTTCCCGTTTTCCATATGCAGCAAGTGATCCCACCTACATGGATTTACATTGCCGGTCAACGACCCTCAGTTGAGGGTTTCTGCCTAGCTGCTATTTCCTCTCATATCCTGAAAAATTAAAGGAATTTCCATCGCCCAGGAAACATAGACGAGCAAGCCCAGTTCTTTCATTCATTTGATAAAAAACAGAGTTACAGAATGGATGGACAGAGAATTTACATAAGCCGATAAGCGCACTAGCTCCATTAACCAGTTTGCTTCCCCAGAAAATAAATGAAATCGACATCCACAAGATCTAGAGGCCATTCTTCAGACCACAGCTCCAGCAGGTTTCCATCTATCATGGACCTCTGTACTGCCGGAAGCATGCAAGGCATCCTGGTCGCTGATCTACAGGGATCATGCCTCCACCCTTCGATGTGTCGATTGCTTCCAACATGGACACCACTTCAGCCATCTCAGGTCGCTTGTCAGGGTTCGCGTCCCAGCAACGCTTCATCACATTTGCTAAAGAGCTTGGACAGCAACGTGGTATCTCTGGCCTCAAGTTCTGTAAACCAGGTACTAGTATTGTATCACCCACTTGCCCAGAATTCAGCAGCTAAAGAGTGCTAAGCAGGAAACATGAAAAGGCACAAAACAGATCTTTACCTGACGGACAACAGCAGATGTGACCTCTGAGAAGCTCAAATCAGGATATGGCATATCACAGCAGTAAATCTCCCACAAACAGATCCCGAAGCTATAAACATCACATTTCCTGTTGTATGGATTTCCATTGAGAACCTGCACATGAAATGCCAAAATAAGGCACATAATACATAAGCAAATACAACTGCTTGCTGCAAAAATGTCTTTTTTTAATTAGTTTATTATGTTAGAACTAAAAGTGATGACATCACGAAATAAAAGAGCAGAGCAGCTAGGGGGGATGAATGTCATTGCCCAGAAAAAGGTACCTCAGGTGCCATGTAACCAAGTGTTCCAGTTTCACCGGTCATATCACTGGGATTAGAAGCTTCAAGGCGAGCAACACCAAAATCAGCAATTTTCACAGTTCTCGTTTTATCAAGAAGCATATTTTCAGTCTTCACATCACGATGCACAATCTTCTTGGAATGAAGATAGCTTAATCTAATAAAGATTTAAAAGTCAATACAGACAATACTTATATCAAATAAAAAATAATAAGACAAAGATTCAGAGAATGAGGATGAAGCAGTAAAATACTAACCCCCTTGCAAGGTCAAGAGCAATTTGGACGACGACCTTAAAAGCTAACTTCCTTCTCCTGTTCTTTATCAGGAATGATTTTAGTGCACCACCAGGAAGGTACTCCACAACAACACAGCAGATATTAGTTGGCATGCCAATGTGACCGTTTTCTGTTTGAATATTCAGATCCCTTGCGCCCATTATAGCTCCTATAAACTGTATGGGAAAAATCTAAGTTGTTGTTACAGTAGCTGACAAACGAACATAATACTGAAGAAACATGAATCTTGATAGGTCGATTCTACCCCATTTTCTCTAATGCTAGAACTATCACCCAGCTTTTCAAAAATGAAGAAACATGTCAGCAGAGTACTGAAAAAAACATGAATCTTGATAAATCAATTTGAACGCGTGAATATTGAGATTTTCATCTTTATCGTGACTAGAGAAATAGTAATCATGGATGTATAATAGCATAACATGTAGGAAGCTGCTCGATTGACTTACTTAAACTATGCTTCAAGCATTGGATCAGATATCTGATTTTGCGTACAGCAATTACTTAGAAAAAAAAAAGCATGGCAGAATGTTTTACCCGTACAATGAGAATCATTACATTGTTCACCTTTGATGTGGATATATTGCAAGGAGTGGTGAAGGAAACAAGATACCTAGTTAAGTATGCTACAACAATGGGACAGCACACTAAATCTATCAAATGCAATGACCTGACTAGTAATGCATGATACCACACTGAAGGCCCATCCCAATTTATCACCATTTCTTCAAATACAGCTTACTATAAAGTAAAAAATATGAAGAAACAAACAATGTTTTCTTTAGCCGAACAGTACCTTAGTTACATTTGGATGGTCAAGCTTATGCCAAACAGAAACCTCTTGTGAAAAAGCTGCTCTTAGTGCTTGAATGTCTTGTTCTGACCTATGCCCATCCTCTCCCCAATCAAGTAGTTTCACTAGAAAGTATCAAAAGTCAGAATATCACATAAAAAGGTAACATTTGTAACAATAAGTTCTCATTTTAGTAACAAACTGGCAGACTAAAACAAGAACACAGACTTGTAGCGATCAGGCATCCGAGGTACCATGGTTTGCCAGGAGCAGGAGTTAGATTTGAGAATTACAGGCAGTAGGTATGAATAAAATATAGGATACTATGTGCTTCACTATCCAAGCTACAGTTGACTATACATGCCCAATTTAGATATTTGTTTTGGAAATTGACCGTAACTACTACTATCCCCCTATAAAAGGATAACATCATCCAGCATATTCTTTTGGTATTGAATTGTGGCCAAACGACTGATTGCCAAATCATGGAAGCCATGCCAAGATAAGAGAAATGAGTGAGGGCAAACCATCACTGTAACAGGGCATGCAAATTGCTCTACATGTACTGGAATATACTTAACATGTACTGGAATATACTTAACATGTACTGGAATATACTTAGCCAAGTACTGTAGGATGGATCAGCAAATAAAGTTCTTCTATGCTTGTTACCATGTCATGTTAGACAGTCTAAATCTGGTGAGAAAATCTAAATTGCATCTGGCCCTACAAAGTTCTCTGCCTTTGTGGAATCCCCAAAGCAACTTCGCATCCAACAATTGCCGCATTTCGGCTCCAAATGATCACAAGAATCACGACTAGGCGATGGTCCCGATTCACATGAGTGACCAAAAGCCGCCCTATCCATCCAACTGATGTCACGGGGTCGCACTCGCAGCACGGGAAGCCACCAAAAAAGCAGCGTGTCAACTCCCGCAATTTGCCAAAAGAGGCAACAGAAAGGAGGGGAGCGCGTCGGGCACGCACGCACGCTAGCCGCCGCCGGTCCCAACCGGCGCCGCATTCGCAGTCCGTGTCCGGCGCGGCGATTCCGGCGCCACGAAACGAGCGCGGGCGGGAGCGGCCGTGTGGCGTGCAGAGAACGGACAGAGCGGCGGCGGCGGAGTAGGCTACCTGCGACGTCGTGGGCGTCGTAGATGCCGCGGTGGACGGTGCCGAAGGTGCCGCGGGCGATGACGCCCTTGACGACGAGCTTGGCGGGGTCGATCTCCCAGTCCTCCCTCCGCGGGCGCCGGGAGTGCTGCCTGGCGCCGGCGCCGGCGCCGCGATGGTCGGCGCCCGCGGAGGCCTCCTCCTTGCGCTTCTCCATGGTCCAGGCGCGGCTGAGGTGGCGCTCCAGCTGCTCGTCCAGGCTCTTGAGGTCGATCTGGTCCGCCCGCACGAACCCCACGTCCGCGCCGCCGCCCTCCTTCATGGCGTCAGTTGGCGCGCCGCTTCGCCTGATCGCCTCGGGACTCCCCACCCGCGTGCGCTCGGTGTCGGTGTGATGACTGATCACTGGTGTGGCCTGCGGTGGCTGCCCCTGCCCTGCGGTTAGGCTAGCGAGGAGGTGGAGGCGGAGCAGCGGAGGCGGAAGGGGAAGGAGGGTGGCGAGGCGTGGGAGCGGCAGGCATGTTTGCTCAGCACATGGGCTGCCTGCAGCCTGCCTGCCTGCCGAGTGGCCGAGGCAGCGGAAGCGGACGTGTGGGCTCGCGTCGCGGGGCCCAGCGTGGCAAGGGCTTTTCACGCTCGTTGGCAAATGCCGTGGGCTGCGCTGCGCTCGCCGGAGCGGCTGGATCGGCGGCGGGTGCCGCGGGTGGGTGGGGCGCGCCGTATTTATACGCGGCGCGGGTCGCGGGACGGCCCGGAGCATGGCTTCTGCGTACCAATACGCTACTAGTACTAGTCTACTACCAAGTGGTCTTGTAGAACAATTGTTCAGTAAAATCTCTCATTTTATTCAAGTACAAGTACAGAAAAATCTATATTAATTGACTCATCTAGTGATCCTTCGACATGTGTACACGTATAAACAAATATGTTTCTATGTGTACGAATAGACAAATATGAATAAATTACATTTCATTATTTTTTTAAAAAACAAATAACTTAGAATTACTCTCTCCTTTCAAAAAAAAAACAGCCCACTTTCTTTTATACCAAGAAGGCAAGAACCCGTTTGGTAGTTTCAGCTCTAAGATTTACTACCTCCGTCCACAAAGCAATACAGTTATAGGTTGCGTGCAGGTCAAACTAGTTTAATTTTGATCAAGTTTATAATAAAAAGTATTAATATTTATATCTCAAGCTTGGTTTAGGCCCTGTTTGGATTGCAGCTGCTAAATTTAGTCCCTCCTAAATGGTTTAGTCCCATTTAGTTGCTAGAGAGGACTAAAATCCTTTTAGTCTCATTTAGTCATCGTGTTTGAGTAAAAAATAACTAAATATGACTAGATTTAGGAGCTCCTAGCTGAACCAAACACCCCTTACTACAAAAATATATTTTGTAATCAATTTAATATATCATAAATGTTAGTATATTTTTATATAACTTTGATCAAATTTTAAATTCTTTTACTTCTAAAAAAACGAGAATTTCATTCTTTTCTAGACGGGGGAGTAATATATTATATCTACAATTTATAGATCAAATTAAAGTGATTTAAATATATATATATTTAATACAAACTATAAACAAAGTGAGTCATTAATTGCATTTGATATACCTATGGCTCCCGCTCTAGAAAATCAACATGTTTTCTAGAGCTAGAGATCTACCAAACAGGGCCTAAGTTAAATTTCTCCAACCTCATGTCTTAATGATGCACAACCAAAACATGTTTTTTTATTAAGAATGTAATGCACCAATTCATATTTAGATGCTGATGTGTGTTTTTTCTATAAACCTAAGTTAGAGGAGTTAAACCTGTGACAAAGCTAAAAAAAATAAACTATGGATGTAACTGGTTTCCTTCTCACCATGACCTGACTTGCACTAGCGATGCATGTTCTCACTGGCCAGGCTTTTTAGCTACAACATTAGTTCGTTTAGTTCCCGTTCACATGTAGCTCCTAGGACACGTAGGGAAGATGTTTGCTTGCATGTGTCCCGCGGTTACAAGCACTTGACTGCACGCGTGAGTTTGCATCTAGCGAGCCAGGCTCAACCAGACAAGACAACCAATCATCCGTGAACTGCATCAAAACGACCGGGCAAAGCTAAATTCGTGTAACCAATCACGCACTACGACTTAGAACGATGGGTCGGCGTATCTGTGGATCAGACTTCCAGTATTGGGCATTCACCAATCACCGTCATTCCATCGACGAAACGCTGCGCGGTTAAACTGAAACCACCAGCGACCAGCCACACACACCGAAGTCAAATCCAAGCGCTAGGCCGCCACATCTACGTTGAAAAATCAGCCCTTGTTTAGTGGGATGAATTTGGATTTTGGGGCTACTGTAGCACGTTCGTTTTTATTTGGCAAATAGTATTCAAACATAGACTAATTAGGCTCAAAACGTTCGTCTCGCAATTTCCCACCAAACTGTGCAATTAGTTTTTCTTTTCGTCTACATTTAATGCTCCATACACGGGCCGCAAACATTCGATGTGACAGGTACTGTAGCAACTTTTTAGACTTTGGGGTCCAACTAAACAAGGGCTCAAGCTAAGAGCCAAATCACCAGCCATCCCTACCCAATTGCTGAATCACAAGAGCAAGACGTACAGTATTCTTGTCTCCTCCCTTTCACACTTCTTTTTTGCCGATCGGGGCAGGGAGCCAGCCAAGAAGATTGCTGGCTCACTGGCTGATGGCTGTGTCGCCCACGGGTTGGCGAGCGCGAGCTGTTTGTGGCTGTGGATAACGTTTTCTTGTGAGGCCTGGCGGCCTGGCCCCTGCCTCGCTTTCTCGCTTCACATCCACGTCGTCGTCGTCGTCGTCACATTTATCGAGACCCGGCATGGTTTTCTTGCGAGTCCAAACCCCGGTGGTGGCCGGTGGCCACCTGGTTGTCGCCATCCAGAAACTGCGGCGCTTAGGCTGCGTGCTCGTGACATGGAGTGTGAAAGGGGACCGTGACGTACAGTACGGCCGAATTAGATAATTTAAAACTCTAATACTGAACTATGATTTTTTTCTAACCTTAATAAAATATATATAAAAAAATAAACTATCTAAATATGCAACTACGGTTTTTCTAGTACGTTGTTATCTCTACAGCAAAAGGAGTAATACAAGCAATGTAAATGCAGAACCTAAAGAGTAAGGTAGAGATATGCAAACTCCCGTCGACGACTTCGGTATTTTTACCGAGGTATCGAGAAGCGCGCAAGATTCTCCCTAGTCCTCGTTGGAGCCCCTCGCAAGAAATCCCTCGCAAGAGTCAAGCTCCCGGTCGGGTAACTCCGTGGATAGCCCCGGACATTCCCCACGCGCAAGTGGATCTCCGGTGTGCCTTCCGACAAGCCTCTCCCGGACCGCTCCCCGCCGTCTTCACAAACGCGGGCCAAACCACCGCGGGCCTTATTCCCTTCGGTACACGGTGACGGCCACACCATAAACGCGGTTGGTGTGATCTCGCAAGACTATAAGCTCTCCGATGTACAACAATGGTGCACGTAAGCACCGAGTGATAAGAGGTATGCAAACCTCACTAAACACTAGGCATAAACCTAGAGCAAGCGCATAAGCGGTGGTCTAATCAACCTAAGCACTTCGCAAAGCACCTACGCTAATCACCTAATGAATCACTAAGCACTATGCAAGTGAAGATCACTAAAATAGTGTACCAACACCCTTGGTATATTTTCTCTGCTCCACTCTACTCAAATGGTCGGTTAAGGGTCTATTTATAAGACCCACTGAGAAAGTAGCCGTTGGAGACGAAACCCACCTTTCTGCTACTGATCGGACGCTGCTTTCGTCCTGACCGGACGCGTCCGGTCGTCCCAACCGTTGGAGCGCGCGCATTGATCGGATGTGGGGCTGGGTCCGGTCACTGTCGATCGGACGCGTCCGGTCGCGCTGGTGCCGCTCTAAAACCTCTCTGGACTCGATCGGACGCTGCAGTTCCTACGTTCGGTCGATCACCCTCCAACGTCCGGTCAGTGCTGAGCTAGTGTCGCGACAGTGAACAATGTCATCGGTGCATCCGGTCACTGCTTTGCTCAACATCCGGTCACTACTTCGCTTAGCGTCCGGTCACAGCTGCTAATGCCTACTGTTGCCGAGCAACTGATCGGACGCGTCCGGTCCCTATAAGGGCCGCGACCGGTCACCTCTGCCGAGCTTGTTTCTTCGTGATCTTATGTCTAGCTTGGTTTCTATCTTCGTGCTTGGACTTTGCTTGATATCTCGGGTCTTCTCTTGTGCTTCTAGGGTCTTGCTTATGATGTTGATCGTGGGATCATCATGTCGCCTTCGTCCAGGTCACGTCTTGCACTCTATTGAACTATAAAACAATTACTTATAAATTCTTTAGTCTAATTTGGTTGTGTTGGTCATCAAACACCAAAATCCAAAGTAAATGGGTCTAGGATCCATTTTCCTTACAATCTCCTTCTTGGTGATTGATGACAACACGACCAAAACAAGCAAATAATAAAAAATTTAGAATTTAAAAACTATTTACTTGCTAGGATGCAATGCAAAAGACAAGGTTGTAAGATGCTAAAAGATACCACATGTAAATATCTTTGCAAACTTATCTTGCCCTTTCAAATGTCCATATGTGGCATTATGGATTTAAGCCTCCCCCTAACTCCATAATCCACTATCCTCCCTTTCTCGGACCATTACCACTTGTAAATTATTATGATCGGGCTTGCTTTTGGTCTTACAAATTCTCCTCCTTTGGAATCAAACACCGAAAAAAGGCATTAGTAGCACAAGGAGGGTCAAACTTTGTGATCCTTTGTATGTGGAGTGAAATATGTCACAAAATTTGACTCTCACATTATATAAACTAAGCTCCCCCCTAAATATATGCATACATATGATGTATAATGTAGTTTATGCATAATTGGCAAATTAATGCTTAAGGGAGTTTAATCTATATAATACATGGAGAAAGCATATAAATACCAAAGTGAAATCAACATAATGATATCGGTTTAGAAATATCACATGTGGAAACCAATTTGATTTATACCACTCACAATAGGTGGTGGATATTTGAAGTATGATGCTTAACTCCGGAGACTCTATTTTCCTTGCAATGAGACTACTATACACATGATAAATTTGAAAATGTGTTAGTCTCAAAGCATCCAACGTGTAGAGTAATCTCTCCCTAAATTTGTGCACACAAGTATGGAATACTTGTAGGAGACATACACATTGATTTTAGAATAAAAAATACCACTTGAAAGATGACATCACATGAATGTGAGAATCATTTTCGAATGAGATATTTGGGAGAAATTAT